ATACTCTCCATCACCTCATCTAACTCACTCCAGAATCTCTCCTTCTCTTCTAACTCACACCCTACATGTGGAGCATAACCACTGACTACATGCAACATTACCCCTTCAATTTCCAACTTCAAACTGATCACCCTGTCTGACACTCTTTTCACCTCTAAAACATTCCTCATGAGCTCCTCCTTCAGGATCACTCCTACCCCATTTCTCTTCCTGTCCACACCATAATAAAACGGTTTGTATCCCCCTCCAATACTACGCACTTTGCTACCCTTCCACCTGGTCTCCTGCACACACAGTATATCTACCTTCCTTCTCTCCATCATGTCCACCACCACCCTTTCCCTGTCATTGTGCCCACGTTAGTCCCTATTCTCAGACCTATACTGCTGCCTTTCCTCTTCTCTCTCTGTCTACGAATCCTTCTACCTCCTCTCCTTCTTCGACCAACAGTAGTCCAATTTCCGCCAGCACCCTGTGGGTCAACAGCACTGGTGGCAGTTGTTCTTAACCCGGGCCTTGACCGATCCGGTATGGAGTTCTCACTGATGATTTGCATGTTTAAATTTGGCATGTTTTTATGCCCGGTGACTCCGTTTGGGACTAAGCGGTTTAGAAAATGGATGGATGGATGTTTTTACGCTGGATGCCCTTCCTGATGCACCCTCTCTATTTATCCGAGCTTGGGACCGGCACAGAAGTCACTGGCTTGCAACCCCTGTGGTTAGATTGCGGATTGAATCTAATGTTTGATAACAAAACACTAATGCAGCTAATTAAAATTTTAATTTACAAAACAATTTATATTATCTTCTGCATATTTTACTGCATTCATCCATTGTGATCAAAAGAAAATACCACAAAGTCATACACAATTAGAATAAAATAGTTAATGCCAAAATGCAACATTATTTATTAACTAATAAAACGCAGAACACGACACAGGTCCTTCTATTTGTTTTGGTGTCACACTGTATAAAGTGTTACATTTAAAAATAACTGATTCTATTTACTTGAAATAACATCACCTATTTTGTCAAGTTAAAATTTTATTATTAGTGTTTCTAGATGAGGTGATTCTGATTTTGTGTGCAGATACTTGTTCCATTTCCAAAGGGTCAGTAGCCTTATCTCCTTGCCTACACATCACAGTCCTACACAGTGTCTGCTGTGGCTCTGCCTCTCTCAGAGATGCCTTAAAATGGCTAGTAAGATATTTAATTTTATAACATATTAATACCTTTCTAAGTGGTTAATGGATAACGGATTTTATTTTTCAGTGACAAGTGAGTCATTTTTACACTACCATGTGGAGAATATCAGCAGTGGCTATCTATGGCCATCTCCTGGCCACAGTGGTGAATGACATCCTCCCAGTTTTAATCCACTCCAATCACAGCCTGAAATCAAATCACACAATCAGACAGAGGTATAACTATTCTAAATAACATGCTGAGTTCATAAGAAAAAACCCTAGAGTTGACCTGTGGACCTATTCCACAGGTCAACTAGACTATTGTCTATACAGGCATGCTAGTGGCTCTGCAAGGATACAGTGTACCTTCTATACACCATGCTGACTTGAACCAAAAGTCAGCACGGTAATGTGTAATGTGTGTGCGAATGGATATAAAAGGATATGGAATGCTTGTGTATACTTGGCTGCTTGTGCACTTGATGTTTTAGGGAAAGGTTAAGGAAGTCCACGCTGCTCTCGGGCCCCCCCCCCCCCCCCCCCAGCAAAGATAGAAGAATAGAGGAGAAAAGATTAGAATAAAAAGTAGTGGATGGGTAATGAAGAGCAGAAGCAGAAGTATTGTGGTTTCGTGGGTTTAAAAAGTGTGATAACGGAAAGACGTATCTCGGGCCAAGTCAGCCCGAACTTCAGATAATTCCATCATCACCAATTGTTTAGTGGGTGTAATGGTTTTTTTTAGCAGTTATGTTTTTTTATATGGTCTTATTTCATGTTTTTTTTCTATTGCTGTACCGACTGGAAGTCACTAAAAACTTCGTTGTACGTGTTACAATGACAATAAAGGACCATCTTATCTTAAAAACAGAGTACTGATGGGAATCATTTTGTCTGTATTTGGCCATAAATCAAAATACTGGACAAAGTAAAACTTTGTAGATTAAAAAGATTATAGCCCACACATTTGATTTGATGCTCCACAAAGTTATCTTTATTCAGGCCAAGCTGCCATACCAACAGTGGCACTAGATGAAAAGTCATCTAAGTTATTAGGAGTGTTGTGTTATGTGAACCTGGACATTGGTTTCACAGTACTATGCTTATTTTGAACATATGCATTTTAGTTTTCTTGCTTTACTGAATACATACCATGGCATAGCTCATCTGTAGCTACAGTACTTACACCAACCTACTGTTCAAACAAACACATGCACCCATTTTCACTGTGTGGCAAATGACAGCGAGTGCCCCATTTATTGTTTTTTGTACATGTAAACATACAAGACAGTGACTTCAAAACAATCACATACAAGACATGGTGTCAAACAATGAAATAGAAAATATATTTATCACCATATACCTAAACAAATGAACATTATAAGTTTGCAAAAGCTGGAATGCTCAAGAACATTGATTTTCTGAAATATATATATACATATATATTAGATATATATAAGGTAGATTTCATATACATAGATTCAACATGGATTTCTCCATTTGTTTTATTTTTCTCACCACAGTCCTTTCCTGGCACATTGCACATAACCTCAGCAGTCATGTTCATAAAGGATTCAGTGTGATTATTGGTCATAAGTGAGTTGACCTCTGCAGCTTCCAGCCTGAGCCTTCTAAAAGTCACAGATCAGTGCTCTCAGGCCTGCAAGTGAGCAGATGATCACAAACACCTGCAAACATGTGGAGTGAAAACCAATGTTAACATTGCTGTATCCACACTGGCCAATGCTGATTTTTTGCTTTTTGTCTCTTGCATTGAAGGATCTCAGGCTGTAGTTCATTTACACGTGCAAGACAAATCGACTGCTACACTTAATTTTTTTGTTTATTCAGGTCCAGACCTCAACAAAGTAAAGGCAGTTTAAGAATAAATACACATTATGGTCCCTTTGCTGCCTTGTTTACTACATTCTACTGAGGTAGACAGATGCATACTGCACTAGTCACCTTGCCAACCCCACGCTCCCTGACGAGGCAATGTTAATCTACACTAAACCAGCAGCAGAAACCTTTTGTAGTGCGCATGAACCTACATAATCAGTACATACCTCTTGGATGCTGCAGCTGCTCCCATGTTTCTACACACTACGTATATTTGCCATATTGTGCATCATCCCTGGTTATCAACTTAATAAGTACCTAATGAAAAATTTTTCAAAAGAGATGAAAATGAAGCCAAAATATGTCAGACACCTGCACACATCCATGCTTTGTAACAGAATTGGACACTTTCCAAGTTGCCTTGCTGGCTGTAACACCTATTCAATACTCATCAGAAACACTGAGTGCAGTTACAATGTTTCTTTGTGGTTGTATTTCAAGGAATAACCCACAGCGGTTTCGAGGCACTCCACCAGGGAGCCTGCTGAGAGGAAGTCCAGCTCCACCTCAATGAATTTGATGTAAATGGCAAAATGCTGAGATGAGTCTTCACCTCCCTCGCCATCCTGACTTGTGATGCTACGGCCACAGTTCTCCTGCAGGAAATGAGTCACGGCGAAGGGTTCACCGTGGACATGGTGTTTGCCAGAACCCTGAAAGTGCTGGAAGACGCACTGCTGTATGGTCCTGTCCTCAGCTATGCCTAGGTAACAGTAAGTGACTTTAGCCCCAGTCCTGTCACCCTGTGCTGCTCCTTCTGCATCAGCCTGACTTTGAGCCCCATTTTCTGACTTGCACTGAGGTAAGCTACTGTCATCACTACCAACCTTGTGAGAGGTCTGAGCGGTCTTGCTGGAAGATGATACGGCCTTGTAGCCAACAGCGTAGAGTCCATACGCCTTGGGGATGTCCCCAGGAAGGAGGTAGTGGGATGTTCCTTTGCTGCAGCCTGCTGCCCTGGACTGAGATACAGGGATCCAGTCCACCTCCATGTGCAGCTCCAGGCAGCGTGCCTCGCTGATGGTAATGTCCAGGAACTTGTAGTAGACATTCTTCCAGTTCATCTTTTGAACTTTGGTCATGATGATGCGGCCCTCAGGCTTCTCTGGGTTGAAGTACTCACGAAGTCTCTTACCCAGTGGCACCTGCGAGCTGATCTCAGCGTAGTGATAACGCACGTCCTCACACCAGCGCGTGTTGTAGCCCACGCCAAAGATGGCCAGTTTGTTGGAGAGGTGCAGCCGGGAGAACTCAGTCCATGTCTGGAAGTGCTCCCATTTCAGCTGCACTGACTCAAGGATACGCACCACTGTCTGCAGCATGTCCTTTTTTCTGCACAGAAGCCAAGATACATAATAAGGGCCGGGTAACATTAGGAAGTGTTACATAAGTAGTGAACTTCCAAACAGAATAAGCAGCACCTTATTAGCCAGGATTTGGGAGATACTGTATCTTAAGACAGTGACACCGGCAGGATTATAATTCACAGAACCCACAGGAACCATATACAGCAGCGTAAAATTTGCTAAATATCTTGTTATAACAAGACATTTTTCTTACTATAACAAGACACTTTGCTCGTTTTTATGAGATAATTTCATGTTAAAATGTGATTTTTTTTCACATTATTATGACATACTGTATTTTCTAACAACATACTGTAGGCTACTGTGTCATTATAACAACAAGCTGTATTTTGTCATTATAACATGAGCCCTGCACAGCTTGAAGTGCGTGACAGCAGTGCACATTGACTTTGAGCAGCACCTCCTTAGTTCATTCAGTTCTCCAGCATCTCTGCCATACAACTTTCCACATAAGACCCTTACAGACATGCACTGGAACCCTGAAATTCTCTAGACATTAGCTGGGGGAGTTGTATGTGAGAACAATGTCCCAATCAGTTGACCCAGCTCTTAAGTGGACTTCACTCTGCCAGCTCCCTGGTACAAAGTCTGTGTAAGGTCCAAGCAAGCTGGAGCGAGCCTATGTGAGAATACAGCAGCATATAGTCCAGAGTATTCACACAAAGCTGGTGGGTGTGTTGATGATGTTCTATCAGAGATGCTCACAAGTCCAAGACAAGTCTCAAGTCATTTATGGTTGTAATGAGTATCCTATCCTATCCTGTTCACCATCCTGCTTAGAACACTGCAAGTCAAAGCATCTACTACATTATCATCACTCCATAAAAATGGATATTGATGGTAGAGATAGGCGATGGAACACTGCCATCATCCACTGGCGATGACTGACAGGCATCCCGATAGCGGCTCACCATCATTTTAAGTGGTGAGCCCCCCACCTCCCATCCTACAGCAGTGCCAGTGACACCTACAATCCTGTTAGCAAAGCTCAGTGTAGAAACTGTTGAGCTAGCAGCTTCTGCTGATTGTCGCCATTTTTGTCATTTAAAATGACAACCAGTGGGGTCACAGCAGCTGTCGCTAACTAACACTAACTCTGCGACTTAAACTGATGACAGGACAAAATGAAAGTGGCTGTTGTCAGGTTTGTGACCTCACTGCCGCCGGTGGAGAGGCAGACAACAAGCTGTCTGCTATTAGCCGAAGATTGTTTATGAGCTAAAGAGACATCACTCTGTAACACCACTGAATTCTCTATAGTTCCAACAACTCAAATAGAGAGAGATGTAAAACTAACGGTCAATCTCACATCTATGATGGAAATGTAGCACCTTCTGTGGGATGGTGTATGAAGATCTGTTATTTTTACATTATACTGCATGAGAACAAATCTTGAACTTTCCTTAGCATTTGGTTTTGTTTATTTAACTCAAAGTACAGCCATGTGGACCAAGGGGTACGTTTAGCTTTAACTTTTACCTGACAGACATTTCCTTAATGTTAATGTGCAAAAAACTGAGAGTAAAATAAAAGTTGTTCATGAGTCCCAAATCTTGAGTCTGAGTCAAGTCTCAAGTCTTCAAAACAGAGAATTTCTAGGTGTGAACACTTCCTGCGTTATGCTATGTGTGAAAGGTCAACTCGCGACAAAGTCCGGGCCTAATTCCGAGGAAATTCCTGCAGGTCCTTGAGAATCACTGTTCTGACACTTAAATCCACCCACGATAAATATCCCACACAATAACACATGAATGCAGCTCATGAGCTGTGATAAATAAAAAATACCCTGCATGTGTCCCGATGATGTTACAAGCATTGCTGACAGCAGGTGAAGTCAGTGTGGCTGGCGTTTATTTAGGGGTGTGTGATATCATATTAGATAGCCTCAGGACAAAAAAAAAATATGCAAAGGTTTACAGCTGATTACGGCTCCTGGCGCCACTGGTTTAAGATACTTTTGTTACCTCCGTCCCACTTACTGGCTTTCATTTTTATCTGGCCAGCCACCAAACGGTTATAAGAGCTGTCTTTAAGAAAAATACCTACTTCAGCAACATCTCTACTGATGATAACCTTAGATCTGGTTATATGAGTATACTGTATGAACTATCAAATGATCTCTCAGTATATGATAAGCAGGTGTCTCCTGTTGGGACACACTGCTGCTAGAGTACAATTTAGAACAAAAAATGACATTCTTCATAAAACCTCCAAGAGTAGGAGCTGGACAATTTTGGCAATGCACTAGTATCAAAAAAGGCACTTTGGCACATGGACGCACGCTGCATTCACAATGGGTGATGTTTGATATCAGCCATTTTGGGTGATGACAAACAAGTTTCAGTGGTGGCTTTAAACCAGTCATTTGTAATGGTTAGGCTAATTCACAACTTAGAAAACAAAGCTTTACATCACACACATTCAAGTTAAAGAGAACGTGAATTCAGCCTTTGTTCTATTTGACTTACTGGGTTTGTTCTGACAGTTCTGCTTGAATCTGTAGCACTCTGTTTTTAGGCACCTGGATTTCTTCTAAATGGTAAAAAGCAAATATATTAGTTCCCAATCAGCATTCTTGTTTCATTTACTGGTTGTTAACACACTCACCAGTCTCCATGTCTCCCTCCTGGAAAGCTGAGTCCAGCACCTGGTTACACCAGTCCTCCTGGGAGAAGTCTTCCAGGGTGCTGCCATCGGACTCCATCTCCTGATACAGCCCACTGCTGTTGATCAGCACTGGGGCACAGCTCTGGGAGTCCCAGCCTCCCTGACCGAACACCTTCTCCAGCTGCTCTATAGTGTAACTGCTCTTCCTTTTGCCGATGCCATGCTCCTTCACACGGCTGTAGCAGCGGCGCAGTGTCTGTGTGAGATGGCAGGACAACTCAGCGACTTCAGGCTGCTCATAAAGTATGTCAACAATTATTACACAGCTGCTGTAACAGTTCTACATCGTGGTGACTCTCCCACAGCGTGACAAAGAGGAGAGATTGCTTCATGCTTTAATAGCAATGCAAGCTGCTTTGTCACAGCAAGTGTATGTTTTCATGTTTAATGGCAATTGAATTTGTCTGGTTGTCGATGGTTGTTTAATGGGATACAGTAGGTACTTCACTGGGCCTGAGTCTGACTTTATTACACAGAGCAGGTATCTGCCAGATGTCACCAACCCACACTACACTTATAGCTAATGTCATGTTAGTTTCACTCCAGCTGTTCCCTGAATGTAGTGGAAGGCCTTTACTGGAAATGCTTCCAATACTATTTGTGGTTAGCAAAGCCTGACTCAGTATAGGGCTGCCCTTTCTGCACGCTTTGTTATAAGTTCTTTGCAATAATGTCAGGATAAAGTAACTTTAAATTTAATTTCATGCGAAACAAAGCTCAATAAAGGAGAGTGACTTGGAAAACAAGGGCCGACTCCCTTGATACGTTTTAAAAACACCCTGCTTGGAATAACAATTTCAGCTGGGTTATTGGAGTCAAGTTTATGGCCCTTATAACAAACATTATTATTGATTCAACAAAACATAATAAAAGAAACCTCAAATACATAAAAATCTAGAAAAAACACAAGGTACCATAATTATAAAAGAAGCTAAAAACAAAGTTCCAGGGGTTTGTGACTCTGAAGTCAAATGAACATATTTAAAAAATACCATAAATCATTTCATAATTAATAAGACAATCATAAACAAAATAAACTAACTGTACTGTAAAGTGCCACTTTACTGTTCAAGAGTCAAACAGCTTCGGCAAACGTGCGTCTATTACAGCACTCTGACATAACCCATGAGTTGTGTGAGCCTCCTCGCAGAAAGGCGCTGCTTCACAACCCTTTGTCAAGCTGAAGAGACGACCCCACATGAGGCTTGAGGAACACCCGTAATAATGGCAAGAAATGCAAACTCACATTTACAGCTGGTTTCCCATGGTTTTAAAATCTGGTCTCCTACCCACACCTTTCCTGAAGTCAGTGATCATCTCTTTAGTCATTTTTGCTTCTGATATGGTTTTTACCAAGTTAAATAAACATGCTATCAGCTCTGCTCCCGCCACGAGAAAATCCTTAACCTATGAGCTAGATGTGAAAACAGCCTTCTAGCGTTCCACAATGCTGCACAGTGAAACTCAAACACGGTGACGGAAGAATAACCAAAACATTTCAGGATTGGTGCATCCCTAAACGTGGGGAAATGAGTGTTTCTCTGCAGAATGAAGCATTGTGACTGGAGGGCTGTGTATATTATGTGAAATTTAATCAAGTCTATATAAACAGATCTCCAACTAGATCATCTCCTGCAGGACATGCAGTAATCATTATTTATTTCTCAAGTTTGGGCAACCTGCTGGATTCATTTCAAATGTAGCTACTGGCGCTGAAATGAAATGCAATGGTGTTGAAATCATGGAAATGTCACAGGAATATGGAGCACTGACATATACTGGCTGTGGTTTTGATCACAGCTGTGATTATTTGTGAGCATTACCTATTTTGCAGCACTAGCAGCCAAGCTCACAAACAATCCTCCTGTGGCAGCTTTAGTTCACCCCCCAGCCGCAGTCGCCCCTGTTCCATTCCACACACCGTGAGCGAGGGCAGGCCTAATAGACCTCCTGAATGTGCTCCCTTCAATGTTAAATGTATTTCATGTTGATTATCAAACAATGTGGAAAAAAATATTGTGATATTGTGACAACAGATTTGGCCAGACTGAAGGTTTTAGTCCTAGAGTGAGTAATAGTATAGTAATAGTAATAGTAATATAAGAAACCCCAAATACAGGGGGAAAAGACAATTTCCTTTGTTTATTAGAGTTCATGTTCACTATTTATGAGTATGGATAACAATCCAGGTATTTTCAAGTGGAAATGTGAATGTATATGAGAGTACTGCTTCCCTGTTTGTGAAGTGAGGTGTGCTAACAAGTTCATCAGAGTGAACCTGGGGCTTATTGGGCGGCTTGGTTTTTGTTATAACGTTATGTTTTAGCTGAACTTCAGGTCAGAACCTGTGTGTGAGAAAGAATGACGGGACCTATTCCTTGTGCCCGTCCTGGTCTTGTATGTCTGTAAACTACACTAATGCATGACAGCAACTGTTAGCAGCTGCAGCTCGGTCTGAAAACCACAGGTAGAGGTCCTGATGATGGAGGATGAGCATGCTACGACACTGATGTGTCCTCTTAACCTCATTTACCTTCATCCTCTCCCTGCACTGGGACGGGGTCCTCTCGTAGCCCAGCTCCGACAAAGCTCTGGACACCCGTTCGTACATTGCAGGACCGGGGGCCTTACCGGTGAAGACGGTGCCTGCGACCTCCAGCTGCTGCATCCTCGCCTCTGTCAGCCTCTCGTTGCCCCAGACCGCGATAAGGGCGTTTGTCTCGGACGGGGTCCACGACATCCCTCGGCAAGCCGTGAAGCTGTTGGAGGATGAGGCCGTCGTGCGGCCCGCTGTCCCTGAGCCCACGTTCAAAGGTGAGAACCGGTTCGGTGTCGACGGACTGGAGTGGTATTGATTACTGTCACTCAAATCCTCCGACTCAGGAGATGGCACCTCGGTTTTCGGTATCTTTAACGGCGTCGATATCTCTGGAGAATGCTCCGCGTTACTGGACGCCGCCATGTTGCCTCTGTTGCTAAGGGGAGGGGAGGGAAGGTGACGTGTAGGGCTTTACTCTAGGAGGCACGAAGAAAAATGCGGCATGGATCAGCCGGAAGAGTTGGATTTTCAGGTAAACAAATCAACAAGCAACCAACAGGGGCGTATATGGAAATACTGGGCTACTCGGGGAATGCACGCCCACCTCCACCTCCACCCCCTTCTAAAAATTAATGAATTATATAGGAGCTGCGGTGAGCCCGTATGGGGTAGGGTTCGGTGTCCAGCGTGGGAGGAGGTGCAAGGTTTTAATATAAGTTTTTATAGAATTCGTATACAGTTTTTACTTTTTATACACATTGTATATACTACTTTTTGAAATTTTTATTTGTTTTATTCATTTAATGTAGGGGGTGGTGGTGGCGGTGGCAGTAGGCTACCTTTTACATAGAGTTTAATATGAGATAGGACCTTTTCACAGCAGACTCTTTTACTTATAGGAGAAAAAGTACAGACAGTACTAATAACATTAATGGCTCTTTTATGTTCCATAAGGTAAATAGATTTTTGACACTTATGAATCATCACAGTGACTGGCATTACGTAATAACCATAAGCTTGGTATGTAGGTAAGTAGGTAGGTTCAGGTAGGTAAGCTTCACATCTTTAGAGAAAGTAGACCAATTTCTGCTGTACTGGAGGAGCAGCAGGTAGGCTGTGTGTCTCAGTGTTTACACCAAGTATCTGTAGGACCGGAAAGCCTAAGTTT